GAAACCGGGGCAGGGAGTGTTTCATCAAATGTACACAGTTCTGGAGGCATTATTTTCAGTTACCTTAAAGGAGGACTGAACTGAAAATGTATACATTGTGAGAGATAAAATACATGGATAATGAAAAAATAGCAGGCGGTTAATAACTAGTGGTTTCATTTAACTTGTTTTCAAATTAGGAACCTAATTCATGGAACAGTACATCTGGTGAGACAGAAAACAGTACTGGAAGTTAGTCATGTAAAGTCTACTCGAATCATTTCAAGAACCTTCTGTTCCTTTTTGAACAACTAAAATTCTGCCTTCTTGAAATACAGACAAAGCCCTGACTAGTCCACCCTATTTTTAAAATATGTCATTTCATCATAAACACGAACCAAACCCACCACCAAGGAGGACTCTTCCCAGCCGCCACCACACCCTGATTTTCCTTCACTTTTCTTCAAAATAAAACCACCTGATGACGTTAAAGCAGCAATGTTGAGGATTTTAAGGTAACAGTGACATCAGAGGCTTTGCCAAAATTTGTGGTTACCAGCTCAAATCACGTAAAGGGAGGCTGACGATTCACTGAGAAATAAGAGCTAGTGGTGCAAAATATACAAAGGGTTTCTTATTATTTTAAAGCAAAAAATGCTTTAAAGCAAAACACAGTCAGCACGATTTATAATTTTTTTCACAAATGCTTATAATAATTAATTTGACCCTATACAATATTCTACTTAAATGTATTTATGTAGCGGTTACAGATTTTTAAAATCTCTTTTAATTACAGAAGTAATGAATCAATACATGTATTTACTAAACATGAATATAAGCCAGAATTCCATTTAACTATCATCTCAAAATGATTCCTTAGATACTACCACTGTTAGGTTTTTGTTGTGAATTATCCTAGATTTAAAAAATTCCGATATATCTATGTATCCATATAAAATCTATCGTATGGTTTAGCAGGTTTTTATTGACAAAGATTCATTTATTGGCCCAGAATAGATGCACGAATATCTACTGTACATCTTTCCCTGTCCCCGATGCTGGAGATGCAGCACTAGGCCGACAGATAAAAATCCTTTCTGATGGAGCTGACGTGCTAGTGCAAGAGGGACAACCAGCAATTTTGTAGATGTGCAATCGAAGGAATTAGCACACAGCACAAAGGAGGCAAATCTAAAGGGAGGTGAGGGGAGGTGGGAATTTAAAATATGGTATTGAGAGAGCCTGGCATATTGTAAACTGGATGGATTTACCAACATGGTTTAATAAGGCTGTTCTGAAACTGTCTTTGCTCAAGTAGTGATTTGGAACAAGTGTTACCCTGGCTCGCCTGTCAGTCAGCACCACCCATAAACCCTCTCTGGACCCTGGAATGTCCTGGGGACTGGCGACTGCCTGAGGGACACCTAGGCCTCAGCTCTCGGGCCTAGACCCGATAGTAAATACTGTATAAAGTCAAACGCTTCTCCACGGGATTCCAGTTGTTCTTTTTCTTCTCCGTATTTTTTTCTCTCTTTTCTTTTTCTCCCTTTTCTCTTTTTCTTTCCAAGATGCAGTTAGGGACAAGAGCCCAATGGTGCTGTGCTATTTAAGGGTCATTTGGGTGACAGTTTGGGTAAGAAAGATTCTGATCAGAACTGGCCTGCGACGGGAAGCAGCCAGCTTTTTTCCCCTTCATCTACTGGGTGAATTATAAACATTAAAAAAAAAAAAAGACACTAACTACGAGAAGCAATCTGCTCAGGCTGATAAAGAAATATGCAAGTGCCTTTGATCAAAGCTCCAACTGTGATGCATGGTCTATGTCTTTCAAGTTCTGCAAGCTGAATAAAAGGACGTTAGACGGCTACATTAAAAGATATAGATCGAGTTAAATGCAGTGGAAAGAACAGAGCATGGCGAGACCTAGATGTCCGTGTCAGCAAAGGGGCTTTTCCACCGAAACTAAATATTAACTGCGCCTCATATTTTGATCAGCGTGCTGATTTCTAAGACTCTATTTCCTCATATTTAAAATGAGGTCATTACTGTTCACCCTGCCTACTTTCCTTGTTCTACACAGAGATGCTATTAGGCTTAAAGCAAATAAAGCAAAAAACTCTGAATAGTTGTGTGTTTTTTAAATAGAAAAAAACACATGCTGTAGAAGAGAGAAATCATTATTTATGAAATATTAAAAAGTCCCACTGAATCACATACTGACTCCAAAGCCACCACTATGTAAATACTAATAAATAGCACAGGAGGATCGGTAAACAGGCGCAGCAGCGCTGAAGGTAAGACGTCCCTCTCCTCATCTGGAGCAGGGAAGCCCAGGTGTTCACCGCCACGTATGCGCTGGCTTCAACGCACAAAAGTGTGACAACTATGGACTCCGACTACTATACTGACGATTCAGGGGCTTTACTGCACAAGGTCTGATTAATGCCAAGGAGAAATGAAGAAATCGCATAAGATCTCCAAGACCCATCAGAGCAACAATATAAGAATCATAGTTTTAGTAAAGAGAATTGAACTCCTAGCTAATACTCTGTACAGGTTCACACGGCAAAAGATAACTCTGATCTTTTCTGTCACCTAGCACTGCTTTTAAAAATAGGGAAAATAACTTAACGTATGCTAACCATTCAGAGCCAAAGGATAAACACTGCCTGCCTTATAGAAATATACACTGTAACTCTTAGCAGTTTGGGAATCATGCTACAGATACAACCACCATCCATTAGGATCTACTGGTGCTTCAAATAGCTCCTATTTATCCTTGTGTGATGAATCACCCAGAAGAGAATGGAGAAATTCTTCCTGCAATTATCAACACATTTCGAACAAATGTTTTTTTTTCAAACTGAGGAATCTGACTTTTTAGGTCAAAATTAAATGATTAAAAAAATTATTCTGCTCTCTGACTAGCATAAAAGTGAAATATGAACAAGCTCTATTTCTGGGAAGTCAATGATTTGTCTTCTATGAGAAAGTACTGGAAGGTTACATTTTGGAGCAGCTGAAGAAAGCAGACTTACCAATTATTTAATATGGAACATGGAAGCAAACATGCTCCATGAATCAGTAAATTTCTTTTTTTTGTTTGTTTTTTTTGTTCTGTATTTTAAGACTCCTTTGGGGAGGTAAAGGGTGAGAGGAAATGGAATAGTTCAATGAAATGGGAGCTTTTTCCTATATATATTTTTTTATTTTGATGAACATTTTCAAAGTCCCAGTATGTGTTTCAACTTATTATTGCCCTCAGCTGCAGTTTTAAGTATCCCAGCACATGTAGAAATGGCCAGTTTGTTCCCCAGTCCCCTCGCACATGTGACCCCATATACTACATGGGTGTATCAGAGAACTGATAGGTGGTCAGGTATTATGGTCACTGCCAGTCGCTTTCTTAGTGGAAGAATTATTCCAGACTCCCTCACCTTTCTCCAACAACTCAACCTTCTCTCGACAATACTTTTTAAAAAATTGTTCCTATCTGTGAGTATTCTTTAAAGGAAAAAACACAAGAGTATCTTACTGTTACTTATTCATGAACCACTACTATTCAAATGCTTCCTTAAAAAGCCCAGCAATAATTCAGTTAAAAAGGCTTGTTAACCTACACGCCTGATCAGCATTCTATACGTGGCCCCTACACTCACGTCAGTAACTCCAGAGTGATTAGCTCGCATCACTCTGTGTTAGTAATTCCTCCTTCCTTCTTTTTTTACCCAATCTTTTGGCACAACGTGCAGGCATGACTACTACAGACTGTGTAAGCCTCCTCCTTAGACTATTATTTAAAGTTCAACTCCATTATTAGTTACAAGAAAAAAAAAAAAGAGAGGGGAAAACGATGATAAAGAAAAAGATTGGGTGGCACAGACGATTAAGTCATGACTCACCATGCTAACATTCGAGGTTCTCAGTTCTTCAGCACAGAGGAACGAGTGTGCTGCTCCCAAGCCAGCAGGCTACCTGTTTGCCCAGACTGGCCACTTGCAGACACGTTCAGCAACCCTGAACCTTCTGAAGTGAAGACCTTGTTGGGGCTTTATCGGTTATCACATATTTCCACTTGTAGAAGCTCTATCGCTTTTCAAAAAAATGAGATTTACACCCGCTTTCCACTAATTGTTATGTTTTGCCAAAACTATTAGCCACCATGCTCTTTGTTGCCTAAGCACTTAACAGTTGTTTTATAGCTAGAGATGCTCAATAAATTCCAGGACTTTATTCTGTTTCCCTTCATTGCTCCAATATTATCTTCGTGACTCTCAAGTTTCAAATCTCCTCTTCCTTACCCTAGTCAGGTGGCGTGCTGACCTTGTTTAAGGTATTAAACCAAATCCACACTGTGCCTCATTGTTTCTGGGGAGTATTTCTTGTGTTATTATGTTTCATGTTCCTTCCTCCTTCTGGGAGTCTAGTTATTCCTCCAGTGGGCCCCTGGGTTCTGCCAACCAAAAGGACCACAGGACATAATTAAATGTTTCCAATTATGAAGATTTTGCCATTAAATGAGTTTGAAAGGACAGTGGCATTTTCAGTGTGTGGTAGGTGAGAAACAGGGCAAAGAGAAACAGAGAAAAGGAGCCTAAATAAGACTTGAGCCTGGGAAATCTGGGTCTAAAGAACATTTGTGAGATACCAGCCAGGAGCCAACGAAATCAATGCTCCATCCCCACAGTTTGCTTTCTCTGGCTTCTGCTACCTTCTAGACGCTTCCAAATGCTTTCCTGACGTTTAAACCTGCAGCACGGACAAACCGAGTGGGGCTCCACGAACGTCTTGGGGGCCCAGCACAGGAGCCTGCGGCTTCCCTCCGTGTTTGCTGCGAGCTGCTGAAACCAGGAAATCAGAAAGACTGATGCGTTTCCAGGGAATACACTCAGCGTCTCGCCTTGCCAAACACATCAAAGCAATTTGTTTTTGCCAGTGAGACTCCGGTGGCTCCCCACAATGACTCAGCTCACTTATTTAAAATCCTAAACTGGTATGCTAGTAGCTTGTAGGTCACTAACCTGCCAGCCCTGTAATTTATACCGCTGCAGGACAAGCCGACATTTCTCCTCAGCAGACAGCTTCTTCTTCTCGCTGGGGAGTGTCTCTGCCAAGGGCTTATACCTGTGAAAAGCAGCAGGGACACAAAAGTGGTGACTGAATTCATCAAGCCAATGATTGTAAGCTACAGAGCTGTCTTTGTTACACTGCTTCTTAAATTCTCCCCCGTTTTACTTTATTCCATGAGTCCCCACATATTCCACCCACTGTGCCTTTAACAGGCAACTGTGAAAGAACACATCTTTCACATGGAAAATGATTTTTAAAATGAATCAAATATATTTTTCTATCCCTTAATACATGTTTAACGCTATCATGGAGTGACGCAAGCCATGTGGCAAGAGAAACTTCGGAGAGAAAGAAAATTAATCTGTTAGTTTTCACTTAAATATGAAGAATGATCTTTAAAAATACAGCTTTGGAGAAATCCCAGCATTCTGTATTCCCACTGGAGAGTGCATCTCGGCTTAGTTAGAATCGATAATAAAGGGAGTAGCAAAACATCCAGAATTATTATTTAAGTGAGAGGCAGAGTAGCTTTCTCCCCACATATTAGATAACTGAGCATTTCAAATCTTCCAGAAGGACATTTTAGTCTGTCCTGGGAAGTTCTTTACATTATTATCTTTCATTCCCGAGCTGAAATGCATGACAATATAATAGTTTTCTACGGATTTATATAAAAATGTCTTTTCAAAATTACATCACCCACTTAACACATCGATGTAAAATTTTTCCTTGCACTTACGGTATCGAACCCGACATATAAGTAAAACTACATTAGAAGGAGGAAGAGGAGGGAGAGGACGGCAGACAGAGGAAACGAGGGAAGATCTGTGCAACTGCATCCATTTCAATTGCGTGCATGCGGTTCTCATGCTGGGCTGCTCAGGGAACTCAATGCTAAAAGTTCAATCACCTACTCTGCTGTTATTTTCTAGTGTATCTTAGCATTTCATCTAAATTTTGCCGCATCAAATTTGGCATCTTCTAAAATAAGCTTTTGTGTTTCCTTGGGGCAACTAAGGAAGGAAGGACATCGCCTATGCGTCTTTATTGACTCACTTTCCTGCGAGCCAGCACCGAGAGCGCAGGCCATGTCCCCCTGACAGCCCCAGTGGATTTACGCTCATTTCTTTATCTCTGCAAGTGCTGCAGAGAAATGAGGGGCACAGCATGCGAGCCAGCGCCGCAGTAACTATGGGTCTGGCATATAACGCAGGCTGCAAAAATATACATATTTGACTTTTTCCGTAGCAGACATTTATTTCCTTTCTTACATCCTAAGCATTGTCACTGACAACTCAGTACAGATGCTGCTCTGCTTATGATGAGGTTATGTTCCAATAAACTGATTGTAAATTGAAAATATCTGAAGTTGAAATGCATTTAATACACCTAACCTAGCGAACGTGCTCAGAAAACTTACATTAGCCTACGGTTGGGCAAATCATCTAGCACAGGAATACACTGTAGAGTGCCAGTGGTTTACCCCCATGGCTGACTGGGAGCTGAGGCTCAATGCCCAGCATCACGAGAGAGTATAGGGCATATGGACAGCCCAGGGAAAGATCAAAATTCACCATCTGAAGGTCAATTTTTACCGAATGTGTGTGTGGTACACTCGTAAAGTCGAAAAATTTTAAGTCAAAGCATCATAAGTTAGTGACTGTCTCTATACTATTTGTCCTGGATTAAGGATTGTCATAATCTTCCTAACCTCCACCCAGACAATGTAGATACATCAACATCAGCAACAACCCTTCCTTCTCATGCATAGATTTTTGCTCATGTGTCCAATTCAGGGTATAGGAGGGAGTAAAAATAGCAAGTAACAGAGACTGAACATGAAATTGTAGAGCCAAAGGCAAGGATATAAAAATCCTGCTCATCATTTTGATCACACTGAATGGACTGAAATGATCTGTGGATGACAGAAGCATTTGGTGGATCTTTTTTTTTTAAATAATAGTTAAGAATGTGATTTCCTACCCTGCAGGTGCTGAAGTTGGTAGCTATTTTTTTTACTGGCCATATTGTGATTACAGCAAAAGAGAAAGATATATTTCAAGGACAGAGCAGAGAGAGCAAATGGGTCTGTGGGGTATATGTGTGTGGAGCGTTGGGAAGTGGGAGTAAAATGTGCAGAGGGCAGTGGGGTGGACGCCTATAAGTTTATGAGCATCCCCAGAAGATGCTGGTGCATGACATCAATGCATCAGTGAGCAAACTGGGATTTTGTTTCATAATGTTTGAGTAGTTTGAAGATGATAAACGATATAATTAATTGTACAGTGTGTTAAAATAGGAAAAAAGCTGTGTTGGGGATCTAAACACAGCTTCAGGTTCCAACTGTGTAGGAAATTTGCTAAGAGGCCATTGTCAAGGCACTTAGCAAGTAAGTCTCCCCTTTCTCATGTACTTGTGTTTCTCAGGATACGACACAAGTACTACACTGTACTAGTCTAATTCCTGTCAGTCTTCAGCGTATGTGAGCTTCCCTAGGGCACGGGGTCGTCTCTGTAGCTTCCATGGTGTCTGCTCGATTGCTTCTGTATGAAGCAAGTACAGATAAATGATGGGAGGCCGAGGAATTGGGCTGGGGGGTTAGGGGATGGGAAGTAACATTTCTTGAGCACTGAAGGAGTACAAGGGGCTTTTTGTATGTTACTTCACATACTCCTCCTAGATGTAAGAGGTCTGTATGATCATCTTCTGATAGTGAGACAGCTGATGACAACAGAAATTAAGTCAAGCTCACACAGATGGTATATGGGCTGGAATTGTGTCCCCCAAAAAAGGTATGTGAATGTGACCTTATTGGAATTTGGGTTTTTGTAAATGTAATCAAGTTAAGATGAGGTCATTATTGAATATGACTATGTACTTATAAGAGGAGGAATAGGACATGTGATGACAGAGGCAGAGACTGGAGTTATGCAGCTGCAAGGCAAAGACTCCAAGGATTTCAGGCCACCACCAGAAGCTAAAAGAGGAGAGGAAGGACTCTACCCAGAGTCTCAGAGGGCCATATGGCTCTGCTGAAACATTAATCTTGGACTTTCAGCCTTTAGAACTATGAGAGGATAGGTTTCTATTCTTTTAAGCTACCTAGTTTGTGGTACTTTGTTAGGGCAGCCCTGGAATACTTATACAGGTGGTAATTTAAGCTGGAGTTTAAACCCAGGCCAATATAACTCCAGAGGCAATCTCTCCATGACCACTGCTACTAACAAGCCCTCAGCACCGGACGGTTCTAGAATGGAAAAGGAAGAGACTGAGCATGAAAAACTGAAAAGGTAAAACCCAACAGTAATCATCAGTACATGGGACATGCAGAGACAATTTGCTGCTCTCTGACCTTTGAGTGACTGGGCCTCTTCTATAACAGTAAACCAGAACTCATAATGAAATACAGGCTCATTCAGGCACTCAGGAAAATCAATGTGCTTCTACCATTTAGCCACAGTTACACAATGAAATGAAATTAGTCAAATTGTCTTTTTATTCTTCTATAATTGTCTCATTCTGGAACTTTGTTAATTATCACCGAGAATTGAATTGACATAATTCAAGTATCTGAATACAGTATTAACAAGTCAGAACAAAATTCTTACACTTGGTGCCTTTTTCTCATTTTATATTGTTCTTTTGACACCTAAAATGGTATAATCCTGACATTTCAACTGAAAAGACAAAAACGTCATCCTAGACAGGGTAAGGTACTCTATTTTAGTGTAATTAAAATCACCTTGTCTTTTGGAATGTGAGTGTCATCTGTAGGTGGTGTCACTGGTCTATCGCTGTGCTAAACGTAATCTCACAGAAAATTCCATCCGAGGTCAAATGGTAATAATGAGCCTGGAGCACTACATAGGTCCTGAGCACAGGTGTGGTCCCAGGTAGGACTTCTCAGCTCTCATTCCCCACACCCTCCGAGCCTCTTTTGTCCAAGATGAAAACACCACAATCTACTGAAGGCCTCTGTGTTCAGGCTGATATCTGCCCTGAGTCCATAATAAGTCAACTGACTATAAGAAACAAACGTTAACTCTTCCAGCAAACCTATTCTTGTCTCATCCTGTCTTGGGATGAGGGAAATGATTGGGATCTAGTTCCATGTCCAGAATTGGGGTCCTGTGGCTCATTGGGGCTCATTCAATCAATCAACCAATATTGACTGAGCACAAAATATGTACTGGGAGTGCAGCCAGGAACAGAACAGATGAAAATCCTCACATTCTCTGGTGGAAACAGAGAAAATAGAAACATAAATGAGAAAGAATGTCAGATACAATGAGAGAGATGATGAAAAATAAAGCAGGAAAGGGTTCACTGTGGGCAAATACCTGAAGGATAAGATGGAAGCGGTGGCGCTCTCTGGGGAAGAGCCAAGTTGAGGGAACAGCTGGTCCAGAAGCCCTGAGTGGGGTAGTGCCTGCCTGTTCGAAGAAGGATGGATATCAAAGAGGTGGGTGTGGCTGGAGCAGAGCAGGGGAGGGGAAGAGGGAGGAGGAAGAGTCACAAAGGTAACCACAATGAGTAAAGATGCTGATCATGAGTCTAAGGACGTGGGCTTTGACTCAGAATCCTGGGGACTGGTGTTTGAGCAGATGAGTCATGTCACTTGACATTAAAAGAATCACTGAAGCTTCTAGGCTGATAGTGGGTAGTAGTGGAGCAAGTGGAGAGCCAGGGAGGCCATGTGGAGGCTCTTCCCACAGCCCAGGATGGGAGCAATGGATTTCCTGGTGGATTGATGTGAATGTGAAGGGAAGACAGGATCACTCCAAGATTTCTGACCTGAAGATGAAGTTGACATTTACTAAGGTAAAGTGGGATGGGAAAAGTAGTAATTTCCCCAGAAGAATGCTGTATAAACAGACAGGAAATAGTGCAGCTGAGGAGAACCAAAAAGGAGGAATTCAGGTGGAACTCCAAAAGGAGGTATGGACTAAATGTCAGCCAACACTCCAGAGACAGATTTACTACCTCCCCAGTTGACAATCGCTCAGCTGGGTCAGTCTCTCCTGTGGCATGAGCTTCTTTTGCCTGACTGGACA